GTTCTTTTCCAATGGTCCATACAGGAAGTGCATAAGAACAACCCAGACATACATCTAAATGGTTTTATAATGACTAAAAGAAGCTTCTGGAATGACCTGAAGCATTTAGAAAATGCATGAAAGCTGTCTGTGATAGTAAACCAGCCAATTTAAATGAATGTTACCAACTCTGTCAGAAGAGTGGTCAAATATCCTGCTTAAATCATGCCAGAAGCTTGTTAATAGCAACATTGAGTAAAACTTGCTAAAGGACATTTAACCAAATATTACTGCAGCTGTATGGATGTTTACTAATGTGTCTAAATGTGATCCTCTGAGGTTTACAAAACCTGCAAAATAATTAAAAACTTTTCATTCTTTCAAATAATTTAAGATGTACAATCATTCCACCCTGAAGCAGAAAACAATCTAAGAGCTCTTTATGATGTTGACCCCTGCCCAGTGTTGCCAACTTACCGACTTTGTTGCTATATTTAGCGGATTTTCAGACCCCCTTTGCGTCTTCTTTTTCTAAAAAGTGACTAGCGACAAATTTGGCAACTTTTTCTGGTGTTATTAGGAAGACTTATGATCACTTTTTGAGATGACAGCACGTATCGCTCTTACTCTCAACAAGCACCGGGTGCTGCCGTGGCCACCTGACCCGTGGTCCCCACGCAGTCAGCTGCTGTCAGAGCAGGAGGTGCTGACCCCTACGCGTCCAAACTGCAAATGAATCGCACATGACGAAGCCGCTGCACCCACCCTGACTGTAACGCAGTCACTTCTTCTTTTACTTTTTGTGGATCACAAAGTTTAAAACTACCTAAAAACACACACACTTTTTATTAACTCACAACTCGTCTCTACAGAGGAGCTATAAATGATGGAAGCATTAAATATTACGGTCAGATGAGGACTGAAAATTAAGCTTGTCGGGTACTCTGTGAAATAAGGCTCGTCTTCTCTAATAGGTCCAGACCTTACACGTTGCTCGTCTGAATCTTCGAACCAAACCTCTCCCCCAAACGACCAGCTGTCCAACAAGGATGTGTTCTGGCAGCCAGAAGAGGAACTGGTCAGTCAGGCGAGCGACGAGCCTCTGGTGCAGTCAGACGAAGAGGATATTCATCCAGATATGGCTCTGGTTGGTCTCCATGATCTTGGTACTCTCAGAGGCTCTGACGACAGTGACAGTTCAGCAGACCTGCGCACTGGCACCTACGCGCTTGGAAAGGCCTGAATGTTGGACCTGATGCTGCTGCATTGATTTAGCAGAGCTTAGAGCTTTTCTGGTTCTCAAAGATCTTCCAAATGTTAGCCTCCAATGCTTTTTTAAAGATATATTTTCTTTGTTTTTTCCAAATGTAAAGCTTTTGAAACAATGAATTGATTCTACTAACCACATGTAGGCAGAAATGTATTCGATTGTTGGTTTGTTTAAAAAAATCAAACAAACCCAATCTGATGACCTAACTGAGCCTTTAACATTAGGGCGCTGTATGCAGAGTGTTTCACAATCATAAGTATTTATCACCTGTTATAAAAATATCAATCTGTCATAGCAGTGTTTTGCATGTTTATGCTGATGATGATAAATTCTTCTGACTTAGACAAATGTCTAATGGATGGTAATGAATTATTCATTTGAGGATGATGTGGTTGCACGTTAATTTCCTCTTTTGCATGTTATTGTTTAGAATATTTGATTCCAGCAATATGTGGATGACAACCAAAATGTTCTGAAACAAGTGCACTAGCTTGGGCCGAGGGACAGACAGGGGACGGTCTACACTGGGGGGAAACATCGGTGGAAAAGCCCCAGAGACGAGCAGATCAGAACATTCGATGAACTGCTGCTGTGCGAGCTGTCTGTATTTCTATGCACGTGTTCGTTCAGTTTTTCTATCAAAGGTTCCACTGTTGCATTTTCAGTCTGCTCGTACATTCCTGCACTGCTTTTCTGTTATCTGTATTTTCTCAGCTGCAAATCAGGAAATCAGGGACAGGACGCCGTAATCTTGATCGATAAGCTTTGCTAGAAATATTCTTTCTGCAAAGAGAAACTTGGTGAGGCTCGAAGAAAGGAAGATTTGGAAGATTCAGAACATGAGGATATTTGTCTTTATTGGATTGACAGTAGAGTTAGACCAGGCACCTCTGGTAATGGGTCTATCCTTCAACACAAGAGTCACCTGCTCAACCCGGTGAATTAAAGCAGCGCTTTGATTAGACAGAGTCTGAAAATCAGTTTTAAGACGAGGATTGACCGTTGGTCAGCTCCTAAACCATCGACAGCCAGCAAGGACAGAAATATGTCTTGTGAATCTCAGTGAGCTTTCCCAAGGAGTGAGGCACGCTGCATGGCTGCCAGTATGGTGCAGCTCATTAATTCTTATTTTGAACTTTCATCCCAGATGTTTCCTGGTCTAAATCCAATAGCAACAAAACTAAGAGCTACAGCGTATGTGGACCCAAGATAGACAGCAAGACGACGTGAACCACAAAGCTTTAGCTTGTCTTGTATAGAGGCATTAACAGGCTGAATTGTACAAATTGACATGAATCCGATCTTCAAATTCACTTCAGTGAATTAACCTTTGCAGTGATCAGAAACCTTGGATCATTTTTATTTCTTCAACATAAAAATGTTTTTCCACCCCTTTCATAGTTAAGACAAAATGATCTCAGAGCAGTGACGGTAGAGCCAGCTGGTGTCCCATCAGTTTAATATCAGTCCATGTGCACGCGCAAACAACCAGGAAAAAGCTGCTGGCTCGTCATCTTCATTAGCTCAAGCTAGCAGGACATGGATACACATCGGAAATGGAGACCTTATGCAGTAGGATCCACGGAGACCAGAGCTATAAGCAACAATACTAACTGCAACCACAAGATGGCTGTAATCTCAAGAGGCAAACAAGCAGGTAGCTTTATGGAGCAGTCTGAGGTGAAAGTTGATTTTGTTTTACGATTTCACTAGAAACACACTGCTCTCCTCGGTGTCCTGACAGAATGCCTCGATGTAAAAACCCTCTTTTAATTTGAATAACTTCCTAATAAGGAACTTAAATAGCACTGTGAGTTTATTATTGTTTATTATTTGTGTTATTAGCCTGGATCTACTGGCACTGTTGTAATCATCAGGTGGGAATGTATGTCTCATATTGTTTTTACATTCTACAAAAAGGAAAACAGCATATTATTGGATTTGTCTTCTGTGAAACTGATGCATAAATTTCAATAAAAATATCTGGAAAAAAGAACATTCATGTGATTTCTTCTTCACCAGCCTGTGAACTTTGAGTCGCATACAAACTCTATTTCATGTTGCTGCTTCTTTTATTTAAGGAACATTTATAAATTGCAAGCTATAATCTCCTCTGAACATTTGTGCTTATATTACTCCACTGCCTTTTTATAAGCTTAGACAAATCATCCCTGTTACACCAAGCAAGCAATGCAAAGTGCTGCAGCCAGACTTTTAACTCACTCTAGCAAGTGAGCTCACATTACCTCTATTTTACTTTCTTTAAATTGGCTTGTTTGTTTTAAAATTCCTACCCTTACATAAAGAGCGCAAAATCCACAAACTCCAGAATAATTTTCTCAATTTCTTGTTAAAAATTCATCTGCCATTCTTTGCTCAGTTGCTCTCTTCCTGAGTCGGTTGCAGGTGATACATTTATGGATAATCTGATACGTAATTCATTATCCAACTCGGGGTCCACAAAGTCATAGGTTTCAGTTTCTGTTGTAACAAGAAAGCAGGTCCCTTGAGCCAGGCACTGTCACCACGGCAACAGTCGCAGAGCGTGTGCCTAGGTCAGCAGTGTTAGAGCTTGTAAAAACACAGTGCCATTGTTTTGGTTGTGAAATCTGATTCGCTGCTCGTGTTAGTGAGATATACATGGAACCGCTTTGTCTGGTTACTTGTTGACACGTGAACCTTCATGCGATGCTCACAGAAGTCGTTGGCAGGATCGTTGTCTTCAAGTCAGAGGAAGTGCAAATAGTTTCAATGGTCCTCTCTAACAATGAAACTGGGAAACATCTATGTTTGCGGTTACTGCAACAGTTTCACATCTGAACCTCAACAATACTTCCAACAAGCTATTATTGAGGTCAGGT